GAGACATACTTTCAAATGTTCTAAAAGCCACTAAGATATATTTGTAAAAACAGTAGTGTGAAGATTAAAGATCAAAAGCAGAAGAAAGTAAGCCTTAATTTATTCACTTGCATATTTATTTTCATGGAATGCTTATTTTGTTAAGCTTTTAGCCTCTTGTGGCACAGTATAAGTGTTGACAGAAGCTCTCTTTTTCATTTATAGATAAGTCAACCTGTAAACAAAGCCTGAAAATAAAAATGCTTGCTTTGAAATGATTTTTTTAAAATGGTACAAGTGAAGAATTCAAGGCTGCATATGTCGCATCTTAATTATGAGTGTTTAAGATACACATTTTAAGCTCCTTTCCTTTTTTTTTGTTTTTTTGTTTTTCTATTACAATAGTAGTCACTTTATGATTAGTACAGGCTGGCATTTCTGTTTGCAATTTTCATTTGAGATACTTTTATAGTTCCTCTTTCTTACGAAATTAAGATCCATACCTTTCTTTTCCTTTCTTTATCTTTGATCTTATGCTTCCCAAAGTGTGTTGCTCAGAAAACTAATCTCATTAGATAGCCCTCGAGAATGGATCCTGTCATCAAATATGTTTAGAAAATGTTGTATGAAATATGCTCTTAAGAGGTTCAATGTATATTAGAATAATATAGTTTGTGAAAAGTTATGAAGTAAAGGAATATTAAATGTTGCCTAATCACACATTTCTCAATATTTTTTGTTCTTGGAAAATGTCCTCCTCTTCCATACCTAGGGTTGATAGTTAAAATATTTAACCAGCACATCGACTCAACTCTTTGTTAGGTAAAAAGCATCCTCTGCTCTTTTGGAGCTCACGTCCATAGGTGACTACAGCTCCCATAAATGTGCGAGTAGAGCTGGAAGCATCTCTTAACTGTGAATCAGGGCTTACAGATGGGCACTAGAAATTGCCTTCCATGATGGCAATGCCAACCCAAGGGCACTGAGTCCCCCACTGGGGTGCAGCCTGATTGGCAAAGGCCTTGACGGATCAGCACAGGTGTTGGTGCTGGAGCAAGTTTGTTGAGGATCTCTGCTGTGCCAGGCCTCAATCTTTTGTTTGCTATACTGTGAGGAAACTTGAAAGGCCCCTGAGTGGGAGACCATGGTGAAAAGGCTCACAGGAAAAACTACTCAGAGAACTTGGTGCAGTAACTATTTATCAACTGGTTTGAAAGTATTTACTATTTTTACTTTTGTACTGCCATACCAATGTACGCCAGCTGATTGTTGGTTCTGCCAATGAAACTTATCAACACTCTATCTAATTCTAGTTCTGTGGGACACCCTTGGACAACCGCTGACCTATACCACTTGGATATGTGAAAATGCATCATTTTCTATCAATTGCTTATTACAAAGCCATGATGTTTAAATATGCAATCCTGCTCGAGTGGAGAATTATCAAAATTTGGGTTAACTTTTAAGCTTTGTAAAATCAAGAAACAAGAGATGGCACCCAAAAATGATGGATACCTTGAAGCATCTGGATTGCTGGATGAATTATGTTACAATAAGATAAAAATGTCCAATAACGTAGTGTAAGCTTCCTGAAAAAAAAAGTTGCTAATGTAAATCTGACTAAGTCACTCAATTGTCATCTTGTCACATCAGGATTAGAGTTTAATACGCACCCACTCACCCACCCACACAGACACACACACATGCAAATAAGGATGATTGTATGTAATGTCCTTATAATCCTCATTTGCCTTTCTATGCCTTGTTTTTTTAAATGTAAAAGTATTCGTCGAATAGCTCAAGGATCAAGTTAATAGAAATTATAAGAAACTCGTCACACTCTATATAGACTAGTTCCTACTTTTGTAGTCTCTTTTTCTCATTATTCCACTAGGAAAATTGAACCATTCTCTCGTCTTTAATGTAGTCTTACTGATTTCCACCTATCATCAGGCTAAATTTATTAATGTAGCAGTATTTACACATTTCATTCTTTTCCCGCCACCCCCCAGGTAGATTTTGCATCTTTTTTTTTTTTTGGTTCTGGAACTTGGGAGTATTGTTCAGAATAATGAATAGAAAAAACACTGTACAATAAAAGGAGGTAGAATAAGGCTAGCAACATGTGAGAGACACACAAGACCTTCTAGAAAGAGAATGTTGACTCAGGAGGATAAGATAAGAATGGAAAAAAAGACAAAACACCAAGAGTGGACCAGGGGCTGAGTGCCTTGACTCACGCCAGGAATCCCAACACTTTGGGAGACTGAGGTGGGTGGATCACCTAAGGTTAGGAGTTCAAGGCCAGCCTGACCAACTTGGTGAAACCCCATCTCTACTAAAAATGCAAAAATTAGCCGGGTGTGGTGATGTGTGCCTGTAATCCCAGCTACTCAGGAGGCTGAGGCAGGAGAATCATTTGAACTCAGAAGGTAGAGGTTGCCGTGAGCCGAGATCACCCCACTGCACTCCAGCCTGGGTGACAAAGTGAGACTCCATCTCAAAAAAGAAAAAAAAAAAAAAAAAAAAAAAAAGGAGTGGACTGGGCTAGGGAAGAAATCTTAGACATTTCTTAGAGAATACCAGAAAAGTCCCTCAAATAAGCTATGAATTTTTGAAAAAAAGATTTGAAAGGAAGATTTTAAGAAGTTTTGTTGTGATTCATTAATAAGATATCCTGTGAAATAGTTCTGGAATGCTCCTCAAATATTCTTGGCTATTAAGCTAATGTGTGTTTGATTATAATAGTGTAGAGACTGGTCCTGAAATAAGCCAGGTATATATTTTTGTTACAAAGGTAACATCTAGTCTGTGATGCTCTAATTTTGTTTTCTAAACTTACTCGTTTTTGAGGTTCATAGTTATTTCAAGAAGTTTTGCATAGTACTTTATTCCTCAGCGATTAGGAATGGCATCTCAATCCTCTAAATTGTTGACCCTTTTCTGTTTGCCATCTATGTATAAATTTTAGGAAGAAATATCTTGAATCTCCAGCCAGAATAAATCCTAAATTCCTAGCTCCAGGATCACTTTTATACAGCTTTCTTGCTCCAATGTTTGGTCCACCATATATACTGAACAGACTGTAGTGAAGTTGCTAACACACACTTCTACTTAGTCATTGTGGCCTGTAAGAATTTGTAACTTTTACCAGTATCAGAAATTAATTAAGATGGTTACAATTTTTGTGTTTTTCTAATTAAATCAACTTTAATTTCTAAGCATTGTTAACTCATATCTCTGTCTTTGCACTTAACATATTCTAAATATTTGTTTATATTTCTTTCAAATAAAAGTGTGACATACTTGAGAGTAGAGGCTGTGTGCTGTGTCCTTGCACTTAGCAACACTGGTATGCCTTAGGAGCACTACAAAATGTGAATGAATGAATGAATTTTATCAACAACCTCCTAAGTAAGAAAGCTGAAAGGAAATTTTATATCATTTTATACCTATCTTCTTCTTCTTTTTTTTTTTTTTTTTTTTTTTTTTTGAGATGGAGTCTTGCTCTGGACAAGACTCTACCCAGTCTGGAGTGCAGTGGCACTATCTTGGCTCACTGCAACCTCCACCTCCTGGGTTCAATCAATTCTCCTGCCTTTGCCCCCTGAGTAGCTGGGATTATAGGCACCTGTCACCACGCTTGGCTAATTTTTATATTTTTAGTAGAGACAGGGTTTCACCATGTTGGCCAGGCTGGTATCAAACTCCTGACCTCATGAACTGCCCACCTCAGCCTCCCAAAGTGCTGGGATTAGTAAGCCACCACGCCTGGCCTTTTTTTTGTTTTGAGATAGAGTCTTGCCCCTTGGCCCAGGCTGGAGTGCAGTGGTGTGATCTTGGCTCACTACAACCTCTGCCTCCTGGTTTCAAGTGATTCTTGTGCCTCAGCCTCCCAAGTAGCTCGGACTACAGGTGCGTGCCATCACATCAGGCTGATTTTTGTATTTTTGGTAGAGAATGAGTTTCACCATGTTGGCCAGGCTAGTCTCTAATTCCTGACCTCAAGTGATTGATCCATCTTGGTTTCCCAAAGTGCTGGGATTACAAGCGTGAGCCACTGTGCTCAGCCCTATCTTCTTTAAATAAAAAAAAAAAAAAAGAAAAGAAAAGAAAAAAGGGGAAAAAAAAAAGTTGAGGTATAATGAAAGCAACATGGGGCTTAGGCTAAAATACCTGAATTCAATTTCTAGCTGCCCATTTATCAGGAAAATTTTTAAATTTCTTTGAACAAGTTACTGAAGTTCTCTCAGCCATTGTCATCAAATACAAATAATAATCCCTGCTGTACATAGCTGTCATGATGATACAATAAGATTAAAATTCTGAAATAGAGTAGACCTTCATAGAGAAGGTAATTAAAAGCAATTTATTTAATCTGCGTGAATAATTTGTTGACCAATGGCTAAAGTTGAGAGGCTCTATAGGAAAAACAGAGTCAGTGTCGAGAAGTCATGTCCTCCTGACTTCAGATTGCTTAACACTGGAAAAGGCCATGGAGTAAGAAATTAGTGAAATCTCACTTATTATTGAGACATTTTCTTGCCCTTAAATAATAAGACTGACTGACCTTTGAAGGGACTGATCCACCATATATTCCCTGACTCATGAAAGAAAACACAATTTGTAGATAAATCACGAGAACCTGCTTTTCTACTGCGCCAAACGTAAAGTAAAAGTTTGGAAATGTCATATCTAACTAAAAACTCTTTAATTATTTGGTCAAATCAAGGGGCACTCTCATCTCTTATTATTTTTAAATTAACCATATTCTTTATGCAATGTGCATACATTAAGGAGCAGTAGAGAGATGGAGTTTTAATTTTTACCAATTCAATTTAAATGCAGATTTTAACCACTCACATGATGCTACTGTGTACATCATTAAGCATCATTATATACTACATGAATCATTGAGAAATCTCCTGAGAGCCATTCTACTGTGTAAAACATGCATTATACTGACAAGCAGTCAAATGATGTCTACTTCTGTCCTCATTAATGCTCTTTTTGAATTACAGGTCAACCGATTATGGAACAACCTATGAGAAGCTGAATGATAAAGTTGGTTTGAAAACCATTTTGAGCTATCTCTATGTGTGTCCTACCAACAAGCGTAAGGTAAGAAATGTATATTCAGTATGCTACTCCTTCATGATGTGACTTCTGTCTTGATTGGCTAACATCTCTAGCTACCTAAAAATCCATTATAGTTAAGCTGGGATTAGAAATGTAAAGATGAGTTGATGGATGTTAAGGTTGTAAAATGTGTGACACATCATAATTTTCAGATCAGCAGCTGTGAATGTAAAAGGGCGAGGGGGGTAGTAGATCATTACCATTTCCGAAAGGCAGCTACAAAGAATGAGTCTTGTTGGGTGGATGCTGCTGATTCTCTAGTAAGAGTTCTGACCAGTCAATCACAAGAATCCGAATGAGTCTTGACAAGACAGCAGAAAAGATGGATTTTCATCTGATGGCCCAGTTTTTCCTCGACATGGAACAAATAGATTAACTAGAATTTAAGTGAATGCATTGTCCTACAGCAGATATGAAGTTTCATTTTTAAAGTTTGTTCAGTCTGCACATAAATGTCAGGATGAATGCAATGCATTTAGCAGAATAGAGTAGCTTGGAAAGAGTGATAAGATTAGTCCCTTCTGAGCATGGATCTTAGCTGCAAGAAGCCTTGGAGATCATCATATACAACACCCTTATTTTACAGATAAGAAAACTGAGATTCAGAGGAAAGACATAGACTGTGCCCATTGCAGAGTTATGGCCATAATTAGGACTAGAATTAAGGTGTCTTGGTTAGCAGTCATACTTTTTCCACTATGTCATACGTCTCCTATTAAGAGAGCTTATCTACTGCTCGGATATGTCATTTTTTAGGAAGAAAATATTGCTTTTAAATGAGAAAGACATTTGTTTGTCTCAGAAGGAGAGTGGTACTACATCTGTACCTTTGTTTTTATAAACTTGCATTATCAAATTCTGAATTCTGACATACAATTGATAAGTAGTACATAGGTTACATGAACTAATAGTATTAATCAGGAAATAGAAACGTGTCATTCATTAACATACCCTAAACCATAATGTGTTATGAAGGTAGCACTTGATGTCTATGTTCGCATCTCAGATTTTTCATTAGCTACTGTTAGTGACCTTGGGTAGGGTCTGCATTTTGCCATCTGGACTATGGAAGGTGATGAAAATATCTCTTAAGCAATCACTCTTAATTCTGGCTGCATGTCAAAAGGTGCACTCTCAATTCTGGCTGCATGTCAAAAGTGGTCCCCAAATTTGCAAGCCTTAGCCCCACTGTGTCCGGAATTGGTGAGTTCTTGGTTTCGCTGACTTCAAGAATGAAGCCACGGACCCTTGCGGTGAGTGTTACAGTTCTTAAAGATCGTGTGTCCAGAGTTTTTCCTTCAGATGTTCAGATGTGTCTGGAGATTCTTCCTTCTAGTGGGTTCGTGGTCTCGCCGGCTTCAGGAGTGAAGCTGCAGACCTTCACGGCTCACAAAGGCAGCGCAGACCCAAAGAGTGAGCAGCAGCAAGGTTTATTGCGAAGAGCGAAAGAACAAAGCTTCCACAGCAGGGAAGGAGACCCGAGCAGGTTGCCACAGCTGGCTCGGGCAGCCTACTTTTATGCCCTTATCTGATCCCACCCACAGCCTGCTGATTGGTCCATTTTACAGAGAGCTGATGAGTCCATTTTACAGAGAGCTGATTAGTCTCTTTTGACAGGGTGCTGATTGGTGTGTTTACAAACCTTGAGCTAGACACAGTGCTGAATGGTGCATTTACAATCCTTTAGCTAGACATAAAAGTTCTCCAAATCCCCACCTGACCCAGGAGCCCAGCTGGCTTTACCTAGTGGATCTTGTGCTGGGGCTGGGGGAGGAGCTGTCTGCCAGTCCTGCACTGTGCGCCTGCATTCCTCAGCCCCATGGAGCAGAGGGTGGTGCTCCAGGGAGGCTTGTGCCACGTGGGAGCCCACTAGGGTGGGGGAGGGGCTCAGACATGGCCCGCGGGGAGGTGGCTGAGGCCCTGCAAGAATTTGAGTGCCGCGCGGGCGGGCTGGCAGTGCTGGGAGACCTGGTGCACCCTTCGCAGTGGCTGGCCCGGGTGCTAAGCCCCTCTATGCCCAGGGCCAGAGGCACCGGCCAGCCGCTCTGAATGCGGGCCCGCCAAGCCCACACCCACCTGGAGCTCGCACTGGCCTGAGAGCGCCACAGGCAGCCCCAGTTTCCATCTGCGCCTCTCCCTCCACACCTCCCCACAAGCAGAGGGAGCCAGCTCTGGCCTTGGCAAGTCCAGAGAGGGGTTCCCACAGTGCAGTGGTAGGCTGAAGGGCTCCTCAAGTGTGGCTAGAGTGGATGCCAAAGCCAAGGAGGCGCTGAGAGTGAGCAAGGGCTGCTAGCACATTGTCACCTCTCAATCCCCCCTCTAAACAGGACACCCCAACTACTGTTGGGAATTTGGCCAATGACTGCGCTAGCTACTTCCTGCTGGATAGGGGCAATGAAGGGGCCCTGTGGTTGTAGTGTTCTCCAGAGGGGAACTCTTTAGGCCAGTGAAAGGGCCAGCAGATCAGTCCAGGGGTCCTCAGTAGAAGTTGTTAGTTGAACTCATTTGGGGTTCCATTTGTAAGACCATCTGTAGCTTGATGGCCTGGATTCTAGAGGAAACAAGTTTAACAAGGAGGTTAAAAATACAGGGTCCAAAGGCAAGTAACAGCAAGATGGCTGCCATGGGACCTAGAAAGGGGAGAAGCCATGTTGCCCAACTCCAGAGGTTGGTATAAGAATTTGAAAGGCGTTGCCTGATTTCAGAAGCCTTTTCCTGTAAATGCTGGGCAGCATCTCCTACTATCGCTGACTGGTTAGTATAAAAACAACACTCCTCCCCTAAGAAGGTGTAGAGTCCTCCTTTCTCCACAGTGAGGAGGTCTAGGCCTCGGTGGTTCTGGAGAGTCACTGCTGCCAAAGAGTCTATTTGGGATTGTAGAGTAAGGATAGATTTTGTTACCTCTTACAAACTGTCTGCGAAATCATTTGAGAGTGTGTGGTAGTAGGATAATGAAGTAGATAAACTGGCTATTCCGGTTCCTATAGCAGTAGCCATTCCTAACCCTATAAGTAGGGGTATTAGTTGTATGGCTCTAGATCTTGGGCCAGTGCCTGACCAAACAGATGAGGGCTATCCCTAAACCCCTGGGGCAAGACCGTCCACATAAGTTGGAATGTGTGGTCTGTGGGATCCTCAAAGACAAAGAGAAACTGGGAGTCAGAGTTCAGGGGAATATAAAAGAAGGCATCCTTGAGGTCCAGAACTGTGCGCCATTCTGCTTCCTCTGGTATTTGAGAGAGCAGAGTATAGGGGTTGGGTACAACTGGATATAGAGGAGTTACTGCCTCATTGATGAGCCTAAGGTCTTGCACTAGTCTACACTGACCATTCGGTTTTTATACTTCTAGAGTTGGGGTGTTGCAGGGACTGCTGCATTTCCTTACTAAGCCTTGAGCTTTTAAATGTTTAACAATATCCTGTAAACCTTTATGAGCTTCAGGCCTTAAGGGATATTGCCTTCGATAAGGAAAAGTGGTGGGATCCTTTAACCTGATTTGGACTGGTGGGCATTTTTTGCCCTTCCAAATTGTCCTTCCAATGCCCAGACTTGAAGGTTGATTTCCTCTTCAAGTAGGGGACAACAAATGGGTAACTTGTTCCCCATATTCATGTAGATAATAGCTCCAGCTTTGGCTAATATATCCCTCCCTAATAAGGGTGTGGGACTTTCAGACATAACAAGAAAGGCATGTGAAAAGAGCAAAGTCTCCCAATTACAACTAAGGAGGTGGGAGAAATACCCACCTCCTCAGGCTGTCCCATAATGCCTCGGATGGTAACAGACTTTGGGGACAGTCGTCCAGGAAAGGAGATCAACACTGAGAAGGTTGCGCCAGTGTCCAGGAGGAAGTCAATTTCCTGGCCCTCAATGGTTAAGCATACCCAGGGCTCAGTAAGGGTAATGACATGAGCTGGTGTTTGTCCCAGGCACTGTCAGTCCTGTTGTTGGATCATCTGGTTGGGGGCTTCTGTCCCAGAGAACCTTAATCCTGTGGGGCAGTGCACCTTCCAGTGATTGCCTTGGCAGAGTGGACATGGACGAGGGGGCAGCTCGTTTCTCACTGGACAGTCTTTTTTAAAGTGTCCTTGTAAACCACACTGATAACAAGCCCTACCGGGTGATTGGCCTGCTCCATTTTCTGTCCTCTCTGAACCACCAAGATTTGTTTGTCTGAGGGCCATGACTAAGGCTGCGGCCTTTCTCTGATCTCACTTTTCCTTTTGGACTTGTTCCTCTTGGTCCCTGTTATACAACACCGAGGCTGCCAGGTTTAATAACTCCTCCACATTTTGTTCAGGGCCCAAGGGCTTGCTTTTGGAGTTTTCTCCTGATATCTGTGGCTGATTGGGTAATAAACTTATCTTTTAGAACCAGTTGACCCTCGAGGGATTCAGGTGACAGGGGAGTATATTTTCTTAAGAACTCCCATAGCCGCTCGAGGAAGGCAGAAGGATTTTCTTCCTTTCCCTGAGTTATGGTAGACATCATTGAATAATTCATGGGCTTTTTCCTAATTCTCCTTAGTCCTTCTAGAACACAGGTCAGCAGATGTTTATGACTCCAGTCCCCATGATCTGAGTCGAGGTCCCAGTGGAGATCCGTACTAGGGACGGCTTGCTGACCAGTAGGGAATTTGTCCCTTTTTTCCATTATTATTCTATCCTTTACGTGACTAACATACCAAGTATCTCCAAACTCTCGGGCTGCAGCTAAAGCCGCATTCTTTTCATTAAAGGCCAGGGTTTGATCTAACAGTAACATGATATCTCTCCAAGCGAGGTCGAAGGTTTGCCCTAAGCCCTGTAGGACATCTGTGTACCTATCAGGATCATCTGAAAACTTCCCCAGGTCTACCTTGATCTGCTTCAAATCAGAAAGAGAGAGAAAGGGACATGTACCTGGGTTGGGCCAAATTCTCCTCCCCCTACAGCTTGAAGGGGACATAACCAATAGCCTGGTTGTTTTTGGTGCTTTAGAG